CCCCCCTTTTTTTTTTCTTCCTTGTGCCTTTGCTTTTGTAAACTCCTGTGTTATACATGTCATACAGTCCTGGTCTTTGAAGACCTGATTCTGTTTGTCTGCAGTTTCCTTTCTGGCAGAGTGAAAGTGTGTGGGGCTCAGACGGTGGTCTGAGTTCCTGTGGTCTCCATCTATTATGTGATGTTGGAGACTGTTTTAGTCTCATCTGCCTGACGTCTTTCATATGATGTGTCAGTGCTGGGAAGATAGAATATATGGAGTTTGTCCTATTGAGCACAGTTTCTTCTCTTCAGTATACAGATTAAGATACTTTAAGTTTGCCCAGAAGGTACACTGGTGGAAGGCTTGTAGATGGACAGAAACAGAGGTATTTAACTCTTCCTCAAGGCAATTTCTGCACAGCAGAGTTAGGCCACCACTAAAGACAAAGTCAAAACTCTCATTAGCATAAGTCAGATCAGTACTAGGTTTGAAGAAAAACAGATGTGAGGGAACTAAGGATGTAATCTTAGAGCGTGAAAAATGCGCTCGATAAAACACAAATTTCTGGTATTTTGAAATTGCAGTTTCAGCAAGGTACATTAGATTAGAAGCAGAAAAAAAAAATCACAGCTGAACGTTTGTGTAACTTAGATTAACCATGTGCTGAGATGCAGAGTGGAGGAAAGCGTTCATTTAGCTTTCCTGCTTCCGCTGATACCCTGTTGTTCAAAGGAAGCCTGTAGAATTTGCTCTTTCACCTTGTACAATGAAAGACCATTCACATCATGTTAGTTTGTATGAAGTTGAAGTTGCTAGACAATACTTTTATGTTTTGCTAAACTTACTTTTTAATTCAAGTGGTAGTAGTTTTCAGTTGAAAAAATGAAAACATTTGTAGATGTTGAAATTATGAAGTAGGAGAGCCACACATCTGGACATTTATGGCGTTATTGTCTCAGGTAACATGTAATTCAAAAGCAAGACTACTTTTTCTAGTTCAGTGCAAGCCAGCAACATAACTGAAACAAAGCATCGAGCTGCTACTAATCTGTTATTGCAATCAGCTACATCTGTCACATTTTATATGAAGAAGAAAGGGGGGATAAATTGAAAGTAGCACACAAAATACTGTTTTAGCATTATTGCTGGCTAGATCTGTAAATGGAAATAATAAATCATCATACAACATTGAGGGTAATACTCAAGTATTCCCACTAGCATATCTTATTTACGGCTATTCTAAAGTTTTATTTCTTCTATTTATGTCTCTTTTTGAAGAGGTTGGACCTGAGATGTTGCTCAGTTAGCTATTCTTACACTAGCAAATCTTATTTTTAGCTAAATTCTACAGTAACGGCAGATGAGAATAGTATTATAAAATCAAATAATGATTGCATTATAACCTACTGGGGAGATAAGGCTAAATAAATGTTTATAAAATATTGAAATTAAATTGTATGAACTAAAATTTTAAAATTGCTCCTAAATAAGCTTACAAGTGGAAAGGAGTGGTTATGTCTTTACATTTGTCATCCCCAGAGCTCCTTAAGTAATACAGGAATAGAAACTTTTAGCATTACAGCTCATATGAAGAAAAAGGCAGATATAAAAGCTTCTGAAATTCAGATTAAAAGATGAGGTGAAAGCATAATTTGCATTAGTTTGGTTTTTAAGGTACAAGAGTAACATGCAAATTCAATGCTTGAGTTTCAGTTCCTGAACTTTGCAGTGTGTCTGATCCAAATCTGTGTTACTGACTTGCCTTTGCATTGTATCAGATTCAAAATATGCTTAATGCTCAAAATGAAGAAGGCAGTGATTTATCTCGTGGGGCTGAAACACCCAAGTTTGTAGACTGATTAGCTTATCCTCCATCTTTTCATCTTTACTACTAACAGAAGGTTAAGAAGAATTTGGAAGGTGATTCTGAATTGTACTTGGAAGTGACTCGCCATTGGTATTTTTACAGAACCATCTTAGTGAGCTGTGCTCATCTCTAAGTATGGGAAGGACATGCTCTTAGATGACCGATCTAACCAAATATTTGTTTCTCCTATTGATCTTGGAGTAGATCTGTGTGATTTTTTTTTTTTTTCCCCAATTCATTGGTCCTTCGTTGCACAGAAGAGTGCGCCTAGTTGTTGATATTGTTAGAAGAATAGGTAGAAAGCAGATTTATGTTCTTTGTTGTATGAAGGCTTTAGTTTCCACAAATTATCTGACAGGAACATGTGAATCAAAATACGTACTATTTCCGTCCTTTTAGTTGCTGAGCTTTCTGGTCCTTTTTGGTGTACAGTATCTTGAAAAAAAGGAATTATGATTCTTTTTGCTGTTTTTTTTTGTGTTGAGGCCGAGCTCCTGTGCCAGTTGGAAAGATTTTTGGAACAATTTTGGGAGAGCAAACTTTGCCCTCTTCAAAGATCTGCTTGGAAGAGTACTGTGGGATGAGGCCTTGGAGGGAAGGGGAGCCCAAAAAAACTGGTTAGTGTTCACGGATCACCTCCTCCAAGCTCAAGAGCCGTCCATCCCAATGAACAGGAGGTCAGGCAAAAATACCAGGAAGCCCCCGCGTACGTGAACAAGGAGCTCCTAGCAATACTCAGACACAAAAGGAAGCATACAGAGGGTGGAAGCAAGGACTGGTAAACCGTGAGGAATACAGAGAAATTGTCTGAGCATCCAGAGATGAAGTTAGGAAAGCTGAAGCCCAGATAGCATTGAATCTGGCCAGGGACATAAAGGACAACAAGAAGGGCTTCTGTAAGTACCTAGGTGATGAAAGGAAGACTGGTGAAACTCAGTGCTCAAAGAGATGTGGAACCTGATTACATTGAACATGGAAGAGGCTGAGGTGCTGAACGTCGTCTTTGCCTCAGACGTTACTAGCAAGATCAGCCTTCAGGAGTGCCAGGTCCCAGAGACCAAGAGGAAAGGCTGAAGCAAGGAAGATGTACCCTTGTTGGAAGAGGATCAGGTCAGGGAATATATGAGCAAGCTGGACATGAACAAGTCCGTGGGCCCTGATGGGATGCACCAATGAGTGCTGAGGGAGCTAGCAGTTGTCATTGCAAAGCCAATCTCTATGTTCTTTGATCGATCATGGTGACTGGGAGAAGTGTCCAAAGACTGGAGGAAAACAGATGTGATTGCTGTCTTCAGGAAGGGAAAGGAGGAGGACCCAGGGATCTACAGGCTGAGCAGGCTCACCTCCATCCCTGGGAAGGTGATGCAGCAGTGAATCCAGAAAAACCTTTCAAGGCACATTAAGGACAAAAAAATCATCAGGAGTAGTCAGCATGGCTGCACCAAGTGGAGGTCTTGATTGATAAAGTCCTTTGAGGTGACTGACCTCGTAGACGAGGGGAGTGCTCTGGATGTTGTCTAGCTGGACTACACTAAGGCCTTTGATGCTGTCTCCTGTAAGATCCTGACAGAGAAGCTATTGATATACAGGCTGGATGAGCAGATAGTGAGGTGTGTAGAAAACTGACTGAATAGCCAAGTCCAGAGGGTGGTGATCAGCATCACAAAGCCTTGTTGGAGGCCAGTGACTAGTGGTGTACTCTGGGGGTCAATACCGGGTCAAGTCCTGTTTAACATTGTCATTAAGGACCTGGTTGATGGAGTAGAGTGTACCCTCAGCATGTTTGCTGATGACACAAAACAGGGAGGAGTGGCTGATACAGCAGAGGATCATGTTGCTATCCAGAGGGACCTGGAAGGCTGGAGAAATTGGGCTGACAGGGACCTCGTGAAGTTCAGCAATGGGAAGCGCAAAGTCCTGCACCTGGGGTTGAACTACCCCATTCACAGATGTGTACGCTGGGAGCCACCCATCTGGAAAGCAGCTTTGCAGAAAAGGTCCTGGGGATCCTGATGGACACTAGGTTAAACATGAGCCAGCAATGTGCTCTTAGAGCAAAGAAGGCAAAAGATATCCTGGTCTGCACTGGGCAAAGTATTGCCAGCAGATTGAGGGAGGTGATCCTTCCCCTCTGTTCAGCAGTGGTGAGGCCACAGCTGGAGCACTGTGTCCACTTCTGGGGCTGCTCAGTATGAGAGAGACAGGGACCTACTGGAGAGAGCCCAGTGAAGGGCCATGAAGATGCTGAAGAGACTGGAGCATCATTCTTAGGAAGAAAGGCTGAGCGAGCTGAGACCGTTCAGCCTACAGAAGAGCAGGCTGAGGGGAGGATCTCATTAACATATGTAAATACCAGAAGTGAGGGTGCGAAGAAGATGGAGTCGGGCTGTTCTCAATGGTGTGCAGTGACAGGACCAGAGGCAATGGGCACAAACTGAAACTCAGGAGACTCCCTTCTGAGCATCACAAAACACTGTTTCACTGTGGGGGTAACTGAGCAGTGGCACAGGTTGCGCAGAGAGGTTGTGGAGTCTCTATCCTTGGAGCTATTCAAAACTCCTTGGACCTGGTCCTGGGCAGCTGGCTGTAGGTGTCCCTGCTTGAGTGGGGGAATTGGACCAGATGAAGTCCAGAGGTCCCTGTCTACTTCAGTCATTCTGTGAGTGTGTGACTTGAACAATCTTCGTGGTGATAGAATCGCGGAAGGGTTTGGATTGGAGGAGACCTTTAAAGGTCATCTAGTCTAACCCTCTGCCCTGGGCAGGGATGTCTTTCACGAGATAGAGTTGCTCAAAGCCCTTGTCCAACCTGACTTTGAACACTTCCAGTGATGGGGCATCCACCACTTCTCTGGGCAACCTGTTCCTGTATCTCACCACCGTTATTATAAACGATTTCATCCTTATGTCCAATTTATATCTAGTTTTTTCAGTTTAAAACCACTGCCCCTTTTTTGGTCACTGCAGGACTTGGAAAAAGTCTTTCTTAGTCTTTCTTGTAAGACTTCTTTATATATTGAAGTGCTGCCAATGAGTTGTACCCAGAGCCATCTCATTTCCAGGCTGAACAACCCCAACTCTCTCCGCCTTTCTTCACAGGAGAGGTGTTCCATTCCTCTGACCATTTTTGTGGCCCTCTTGACCAGCTCTAACAGGTCTATGTCTGTCTTGTACTGGGGACTCCGAAGTTGGATGCAGGACTCCAGGTGGGCTGTCACAAGAGCAGTGCAGAGGGGGACGATCCCTTCCCTTGACTTACTGGCCACATCTTCGGAGCTTGTGTGAAGACGTCACTACATACCTGTATGAAGACATGCACAAACAATATCTCCTCAAGCATTCGCTAAGAGTCATCCAACTTCAAAGCATAGGCTTCATAGCTGTGGTAGCAAGCCACTGCTGAGATCAGAAGAGAGTACTGCCATTTTGAAAATCTAGTCTAGTTGGCTTGGTTCCAATGCATGCTAATGTATCTATTTTTGCTGGTGAATTGTAGCTGTTGTACATCTAGGTAATAATTTTGGCTTTATCTGTGTGATTGTATACAAGAAGTTATGTATATATATTCCATTATTTTAATCTCTCCTTTTTAAAACAAATAAATGAAAAAAAAGAAGAAAGTGGAGCCCTGCTAGTCGTTTACGTTCTGGCCTGCTTGACTTCCTCTTCCATGGAGACTGATTTCCAGATCTATAGTCAGCGCCAGAGGTGAAGGCGTAGTACAATCATATTAATTCATCCCTGCGGTAATACCTTACTTAATTCCTTTGAAAGGATGTTCTATTACCCCTTCATAGGCTTGCCATTGTAGTCAGACTGTGAACAACAAATTTACCAGCATATTCATCTGTTCTGTTTCCAGAGTATGAGCTTATAAATTATGGAAGAATTATAAGTTTGGAAGCGCATGAATGTGCACTCCGTGTTGCAAAGTTTTACCCCATTTCTTCTGTTCAGTCCACAGAGTCACTCAGATCTTCCTGATGTTGTTTTGATCTTCCACTAAACAGAAAGTGAATCAATATTTTATCTCAGCTGTTAATCCAAGAAGCATACACTTTTGGTTCCTGAGCTGTGTTTTTTTTACTGGGAAATACTGTTTCCAGAGTTAACCCATCAGAAGCTCCAGTGGTAGAACAGCAGGTTGCCGTTTGTCCGTGTGCCAGTTTCATATTTATTTTTCTGTTCTCATCATGTTCTCTTTTTTCCTTTAGCTTAAATTGTTCTTTTTCATGTGATACTGTATTGGTTGTTTTACTGCAGTCAAGACAAATGAGAGCTACAGTGTTTCTTCATCTGGGAAATGCACTTTATTATCAAAAATGTAAAATAAAACTGGCATGGTTGACTTCTGGTAAACTCATGTCACATTTAATTGAATTTTCCATTTACTTCAAGGCTGTCTATTATCTTTCCTTGATGATTTATCTTAAGTATTGTGCAGTACTGGAATATGACTAATGGGCTTGTCATTCATTAATCACTACCAATCCATACCGATTTGTTAAATACAAGTGTTACATTTGTTTGCTTCCTAGCAAGTCTAGATAGTGTTTACAAAGATGGACTAAAAGGTGACTTCAGGCAGTTTTTCACCAGCCTTGCTTGGTGAAATGTTTTCATAACTTTTCTCTGGTCACTTTACACTTTTAGTGAACACAAGGGAGTTGGAGTGAGGTCTGGTACTAATGTTGTGACAAAACATCACTCTCTAAGCAGAACTGGAAGGTGAATTCTGTTTAAACCTGTTAGGGTGATAATGTCTAGTCTTAAAGAAATATTAATATACTTTTTCTTTGTCTTTCAGAACAATGGGTCACTTGCCTGGTGCCAGAATCATAAGCAGTGTTCAAAGGTAGGTCCTTTTTCCCCCCTGTCATTTAAGTTACCTAGTTGCTTTCAATCTCTTGCATGTAGATTAAGTTCTTTTCATCTTAGCCTGTTTTCAGAAGCATCTGTTTATATTGTATTGGGAAACCTCAACTTATAATAAAATACCTAAAATTAAAACAGAGTGATTGACTCTTTCAGGACAAAGGAATCATGTTTGAGGATAAATAAGTATCAAGCTTAGTTAAATCAATATAATTCTGTGGGTAAGAGCAAACTTTACACTGGCTAAAATCTGGTGTATCATTTGTGTTCTTTCAGTATTTTTGGTCGTAAGAGAGTAAAACTGTCAATCACTTTAAAATTCACTCCAGCAGCACCGAGGTATGCCAACATTCAAAATTTCATTCAGTTTGTGTATTTAATTTTTAGCCTGACACTGAACTGCTTTGAAAAAATTCTTCATACAAATCCGAGGGTCTCTACTGATGCCCTGTCCTATCCTAGCACTTTAACCCTGAAAGCCTAGAGGGTAGGTGAGCTAAATGTCAGCTGATTCTGCTGTGCAAGAGTCTTTCTGTGGTACCTGGGTAGAGGCAACAATGATTTGGGAGCTTTGGTGGGTCGAAGTGGAATTAAAGACTCTAGTGCCGACTGTTTGTAACAAAGTCATGGAAGATGCATCTGCTGGAAATTTACCTGAAAATGGTGAAGGTAGTATATTTGTCTTAGTCTTCTCGAAAATGTATTTGTACAATAACTTAGGCTTTTTAACTTCAATATTTATTCTTTATTCTGTGAAGATTGTACTGCAAATGGAATTAAATCCAAGTAGCGTTGTTCTGTATTGTTTTAGTGATGTAATCTATGTAAATTCTGATGCTAACCCTTGATTTCAACACATGACAATTTCTTCTCTACAATTAAAGAGTGATATTACTGGTTCACTGATCTAGTTTCTGTTGAAATGAATGGGACTGGAAATGGACCAATTTGTTATTGACTGTTCCGTCACGGGAAAATAATCCAAAGTTGATTGCTTTTGTCAGTATTAAAACCAGAATAGAACAACTTTAGTGTAAGAAGAGAGTGGCACAATTCCTATTAGCTGTGTCGCGCTGCTAAGTGTTGCACTTCTGCAATGAGATCTCATTATCCTTAAAAAAACCCAAACAAACAGAGGTGCAGAGAATGTGGCTCATTGCAATTGAAGTGCCTTTTAAGGAAAGTATGGGGGTCTTGCCCAGTACCACAGTGATCCTGATGCAGTTTTCTTTTTCATTCATTTATGAAGGCGGCCTTGGTATCTATGTGAAAGGTCTTCCAGTGGTTAGTATCTGCCCTATGCAGAAGGAATTGTAAAATAAAAGTTGTCCAGCTTTTAAAGCAAGGCAAAGGCTATAGAAACATCTCTCTGAGTCACTCCCAAGTTCATAGAATCCACTTAAGATGGATACAAGGTATTATGAATTTAAGGTTTACCTTAATATTGTATTAGTCTCTTGAAATCAGTGTAAGAATGCTACAAATTAATATTATTTTGTAATACAACATGCAACAACAGTTTAAGTTTTGAATTACTTCACATATACTTTACAGTCATGTTACCTTAAGTTTTCATTTGTTCTAAGGAAGGTAATACATTTTTCCTTAAGAAAGCAGCTTTGCCATATTTAGAAAAAGAAATAAATATAAACTTGGTGAAATTACTAGCAGAACTGAACATTAACAGAATGGTGTCTTGTTTCAGGAGAGTTTTGGTTTTCTGTGTTTTGCAATGTAAAGTCAAACAATTGCATTACCTAACTGAAATTTTTAAAGCAATGCAGGGGATTGAGTTAATCTTTTAAGAATGCAAATTCCTGTCACTGCTTCTTAGCACCACAGTGCAGAAGGTTTATATGAGCGTGATTCTGCTAAATATCTCAGATGACGTTTTTTCTAAAGGATCCTTTATTTTGTGGTTGTGGTGTTCAGTGACACAGCTGTTTGAGGTGACTTGTGCTATAGTGCAGATGACAGCAAACATCCAGCTACTTTGTTAGCAGAGGGACTTTGAAACTCAGCAGAACCTTTTGTTTGCACAAGTATTTTCATCTGACACACAGTGGAGAAATTTTACTTGGAAGTTGCATCAATGTATCAGGCAGTAGCTGATACAGCAATAAAAGATGATGTACTTAATTTAGTAACTTTTCTGTTATTTTACTCTTTCACGGAAAAATTTGTAAGATGGAAAAGGTACAGTGTAGTCCAGCTTCTTACTTGTAACATAACCAATCCCAATTCTATCTTGGAAGCATTGTTTTTCATTCCAAGGAGAGACAGTAGCTTGTAAAAGTAGAAGACCTGGGTGGAATGTGAAGCTATGAAGAAGGAAATATTGTCATAAAGAATCCAATACAGGGCTTTTGCATGTGTTTTCTCTTCATTGCAAACACCTTTGATGTCTGATTTGACTTCAGTTTGCCTAGACCTGATCTGGCAAAAAGCTGTTCCAAAGTCTTTGTCTGTTATTCTCTGAGAGTAAGATCAGTCTGGCATAAAATTCTGTGGAAATTTTGTAGCCACAATTTTGTACGTGGAATAACTGGAAAAAATATCATCCTACCAGCATACAATGAAAATAATTATTTTCCTCGTCTATGGTCTTTATATTTAGGGATACTTGTGTAGTTGAAGACAGCTGTTGCTAAGATGTTGTTGTACCTCCAAAGTTAATTCAAGCTGTTATACCATTGCCTTCTAATACAAGTGTAGACAACCACAGTCAGTGTGAAGATGAATACCTTTGAGAAATACTGATTTTTCAAAGAGATGCAAATCTAATGAACTAAAATGATTTTAGCTCTCACAGGAATAGTTGCAGATTGTTACCTACATCCCAAATGGCTATTTTTTTTGTTATTTTAATGGAACAAGTCACAAAAGCATGACTGTGAGCAGCAAAATATACACCAATGATTTTATATGTAATTTAATTCAATAAGATCTCTCCAGAGGTGTATTTTACAAGATAAAAACACAAGAGAGCTCTTGAATGTTTGCCCTGTTTTGACATGAGGCAGGTAGTTTTAATATGTGAAAAATACTCTATTATAGTTAGGACAACTATAGGATCATGAAGTAAATGGTCATTTTTGGTTGTAGCAGTTATTTACTCATTGCCATCGTGCACTCCTACTTGTCTGCTTTTATGGAGCTGAAGCAGACAAAGGGTTTTATAGGGATCCTGTCAATTGTCTTCCACTGCGAATATGAGTATTGAGGTAGAATTGGCCCTGGAGTCAGTGAAGTTTGCTGTGGACTTCTTTGGATGTAGATTTGAAACCAAAATTTTTTGTCTAACTTTTTGTCCATAGTTCTGTCACTTTGTTTGAGCTTATGCTTTTCATATTATTTTATAGTTGTGTCTTTCTTTTTTCTTATGTTTTGCTCTTTTCTACTGTGTTCATTCTTCTCACTACTACTTTATGGGGAGTATTTGGTTTTCTTTTCTTTTAAATCTCATGGTCTCAGAAGAATAAGAATTTTTATTAAAAATTGAAAGGGATTTTTCCTGCCCTTGTAATTATAGTAGATATCTGATGTGTTTCAGTGTCTTATAGACCCTAAATGTATACTTTGACATTGAGGTTTATTTTGAGGTTTAGACATTTTTCTACGGTTTATCCAGGAGAAAATTGTTTGGTACTGTTGGTTAGAATTAAAATAATATTTGAGAATTATTGTACACATAAACTAATGTAGTTTTATGTGACAACTTCTGCATGTTGCTTATATATGTGTAAAAACAATAAATATTAATCCAGTAACTGTTTGGTCCTGAAATTGGTTCTTTTAATCTTTTAATATTTAATACATTAAGTATGAACCTGAGTCTTAAAAACTTGGTGAGTTTTTCTTTGGAAATCAGATAGACTAAACTAGACTATTTCAGTTGGAAGCAACCTGCAGTGATCATCTTGTCCAACTTCCTGCCCACTTCAGGGCTGACCAAAAGTTAAAGCATATTGTTAAGAGCATTGTCCAAATGCCTCTCAAACACTGACAGGCTTGAGGCATTGATCACCTCTCTAGGAATCCTGTTCCAGCATTTGACCACTCTCTCGTTAAAGAAACGCTTCCTAAGGTCCAGTCTAAACCTCCCTTGGTGCAGCTTTGAGCCGTCCCACCATGTCCTGTCACTGGATCCCAGGGAGAAGAGCTCAGTACCTCCCTCTCCACTTCCCCTCCTCAGGAAGCCATAGAAGGTCGCAACAGTGACACAGCACTGGCCAGTTTGAACTCTAATTTAGCTTTAGGACTTCATGTCTTCTCCCTGTGTATATGAACCACAGCTCTGTAATCTTCCTCTGAAGAAGATTGTACAATTTCTTTTTCCTCTTGAGCTTCTCAAGGAGTTCCCCGTTCAGCCAAGCTGGTCTTCTGCCCTGCTTGCTTGACTTATGACACAGTGGAATTGCCAGCTCCTGTGCTTCTAAAGGGTAGTTCTTAAAAACTGACCAGCACTCGTGGACGACTCAGCCCTCAAAAGCAGAGTTCCAGGGTTGTCTGCCGAATAGCTCCCTGAGCAGCTTAAAGTTTGCTCACCTGAAGTCCAGGGTAGCAACTGCGCTGTCCTTTTTTCTTATTACACTGAAAATTTTAAACTCCATCATTTCATGACCACAGTGGCTGAGACAGCCATCTACCATCACTTTCTATATTCACAAAGTCTAGGAGGGCATCTTTCCTACTTGGCTCACTGAGTGCTTGTGGAAAGAAATTATCTCCCACAAACTTCAAGAATATCCCAGACCTGCTCATCATAGGGAAGTTGAAACCTCCCATGAGGACAAAGCCTACCCATCCAGAGATTTTTCCTAATTGCCTTTGGAATAACTCATCAGTGCTTACATCCTGGCTGGGTGATTGATAGTAGACACCCACTACAACATCTCCTTTGTCTTCAGTCCCCGTAATCCTCACCCAGAGGCTCTCAACCACATCATCGCTAACTGTAAGGGCTGTACAGTCACTCCT